AAACATGAAGAGAGATTTAAAGGAAGCAAAGACAAACTGCAGAAATGGAAAAATGCTTTGATGGAAATTGCAATTTGTAAGGTTGGGACACGAGGGGTCGGTAAGTTTTTCTTTCATATTCGTGGTTTTAATCATTTTTTTTAAGTTAATATGGTTTTAAACTCAAAAAAGATAATCCATGACTCATAAATCATATGTGTGTGTGAGAGAGTGAGAGAAACCTTGTATAATCCAACTATTCACGAAAATTATGAATGTATTTGGATATTTCGATTTAAATGGATATGCATCAATAGATCAAAAAGTCTAGGCTTATTCTTGTTTTTCGCCGTGATTATATTATTTTCTGAAGTGTCCCTCGGCTTGTTTCCTAACTCACAGTCAAAAAGAAAAAAAGAAAAAAAAAGATTGCTTAACGATAAATTTCTCTATTATATCACGTTGTTCTGTTTAACTATTTCTTGCAAAATAGTTAAATAGAAACAGAACAACGTGATACAATAGAAGTTGTCCAAGACGGCTGTGAAAAGCTTTTTTCCCTGCACTATAGCTCTTTATAACTCATTTTGTGCTCATTTATTCTTTATATTTTTAGGCCTGAAACACAAGTTATCCAAGACGTTGTTTAAGCAATATGGAGCAAACTATGTTCTAAATTGCCATCTTATGATGATTATAATTTAGTTGGAATAAGTCTCAAGGATAGTTGAAATAAATTCACTCTTGAAGATAGGGTTGGGCGATGTTCATTTGTAGGAATATGGGGAATGAGCGGTATTGGTAAAACAACTCTTGCTAGAGTTGTTTATGAAAGCATCTCTCACAATTTGAATATGTTGTTTTCGTTCTTATGTTAGAGAAACTTCTAAAAGAAAAGGAAAAGTTTATTTACAAAGAGAGCTTCTTTCACATGTAAGTAATATGAAAATTAAGAATGAGTTTGAAGGAAGAAGGAAATAAGAAAATACTTTTGGAATAAAAAGGTTCTACTTGTTCTTGATGATATAAATCACATGAGTCAATTGGATAATTTGGCCGTTAATGCAGAGTGGTTTAGCGAGGGTAATAGAGTAATTATAACAACTAGAGATAAGCACTTGTTGACTTCACATGGAGTTCATGGAATATATGAGATGGAACCCATGAAAGAAGATGAATCTCTCCAGATCTGTTCAAAGAAAGCATTTAAAAAAGATCATCCTAAGGAGGGATATGTGGTGTTGTCTAAATCTGTGGTTGAATATGCCGGCGGTCTTCCTTTGGCGCTTCAGGTTTTAGGTTTTTTCTTCGTGGAAGAAGTGTACTTGAGTGGGAAGATGCTTAAGACAGATTGAGACAAATTTCAGATAAGGATGTTTTTCAGATTCTTAAAATAAGCTATGATGGATTAAATGATGAAGAGAAGGCAATATTCTTGGATATTGCATGCTTTTTCAAGGGATGGGAAAAAGATGAAGTATTCCAAATTTTGAAAAATATTGGTCTTCATTGAAATAAGTATCCTCATTGAAAAAACTTTGCTAGTTGAATGCCATACTGATTTTGGAAGATGCCGTTTAGAGATGCATGATTTATTTCAAGAAATGGCAGGAATATAATTTATCAAGAATCTCCTAGCATTGCTTACAGACGCAGTTGACCGTGGAAGATCGAGGACATCGATGAAGTATTGGAAAATACTATTGTGAGTGCTTCTTTATTTAATTAAATCTTGTTTTCATGCGTCTTACTTCCTTATCATTCTCATGTTATTATAATGGGAATTCATAATATTGTTATCAGGGAACTGAAGCAATACAAAGCATTGTGTTAGATTCCTCACGACGGGATGATCCTGAAGTATATTGGAACCTCATGCTTTTTCGAAGTTGTTTAATCTCAGATTACTCATCATTCGAAGAAGATTGGAACTTCCCAATGTTCTCAAATGCCCTTCTAGTGCATTAGGAGTTGTTCAATGGCTATTTGCCCTCTAGAAGCTCTTTAGTCATTGTTTATCACATGCATGCACTGCCATGTTATATATGTTAGTCCAGATGAATTAGGCCAGGCAAGAAGTCCAAATGACTGCCCATATTTTTACATTTATAATTTTTAAGGATTACGTGAATAAATTATCACTCGTATTTTTTAGATACACTCATTTGATTCTATCTATAAATCACTTTTAACATGTTTTTTTAAAATTAAAAAGAAACTTTAGACCTCATTAATTATGACTAAAAATTTAATAAGTTTTTAATCTTATCCTTATTAAATATATATTTTTGATAATATATTTTTTCTCACCAATATTTAATGGACAAACTACAACAAAAATAGCTTTTGGAACATTTAATTTCACCCTTCCAAAGCATTTTGAAAAAGCTTTGAAAATATACACGAGCACTTCTAAAACTCTATTGTAGGTAAGCCAACTGGAGCGTTTTCAGATTAGAAAATTATGATAAGAAATTAATGTCATAATTTATAAATATGATAAAAAAATTTATTTCTTTCTGCCTTATAAATAGAATGAGAGAGAATATAAATTAATTTTTTTGCACTTGCATGATAATTTTTTTCCATGAAGAAATACTAATAAATTATGATACCCGATGTTTTATTTATGAATCAACATAATCTCAGTGGTTAACATGCGAGCTAAATAACACTCATGAGGGTCTTTTTTTTTTCCCCTTTATAACTATTTAGTATCCGAAGCCAATAATCCCGATTATTCCTAATTCGAGCATTGAGAGGCTCCAAATAAGATGGCTCTTCCAATTCCAACCATATTTTTGTATTTCCATCAGCTCAGGGATTGAACCCAAGAGCTGAGGGTCATTTGATTCATACTGTACCGTCTGTGAAAAAAAGGCCTCTAGAGCAATCAGTCTAAAGGTCCATACAGACATAATACAAAACATTCATGGAACACTTGTGCTGTTCCTTCGTTGGTTCAGCATATAGGAGATTGTCATTTGGTCATCAATGGTTCTGGATAAGTATAGTCTGGTTGTCTAAAAAGTGTTTTTAATTAATGAGACGGAAAATGACTTGAAACAATTGTGCTTTTTGGTTCCTTAATAAGAATAATGTATATATATATATATATATATGTTGATACATTGATATTTCATCCGAAAAAGAAACGCCGTCATCTATTATTGCTATTTTTTATGAAAATATTTATTTTTAAATTTCTTTTATGACAAGCATTGAGAAGAGAAATTTTGCTTCAGGACAAGTCGATCATTTTTTATTACATAGTTTTAATTGGAAAAGAATGACCAAACTAAAACTAAAACTATTAAGAGAGTCCATTTTACGTTCCACCCAACTTATTTATCTCTCATCATTAATTCTATAATGAAAATTGAAAACCAGCAGCATTTGAGTGAGGGAGACTGATTAAATGAAAAGTACAGGAAGGGGAGTGAAAGTTTTAGTATTTTCTAATAAAATACTTCCTTGTTTCTATTTATAGGATACACTATCACTTTGAACTTATATTTTTATGGAAGGAAAATTAGATATTTCAATAAGTATTTATTGCGCATTTCTTAAATCATCCCTCATAATTTATATTAATAAGAAATAATTAATACATGCTTATGTTGGTTAACATAGGACATTTTACTCCAATTTTTTTTATTAGACATAATTATTATGGTTAACTAACTTTTTTAAACTGTATGATATAATTTTTTTATATATATAGAAATGGAGGGACTATATAAAGAAATGATAAACAAGTATGAACATTTATTGTCCCAAGAACAAAGCATTAATTTCATGTCAAATAATTGCCAACATTTTGTTGTTTTGTTGAAGTTTCGTACCTAACAACTGGGGTGTTTTCTAAATTTCATTCACTTTTAACTCACATATTCAAGTTATTAATTACTTGAACGATTGCTTTTCCTGTCCATCATCTCTTTCATTCTTTTAGTTGTTCAGATGAAACTTAAGCAATTTATACTAAATAAATTGTTAGAATATGAAATGAAAATATATTTATTCAACTATTAACATAAATGATTGAGGTGTTCAATGTTTGGAACAAATGTTAAATTTGATATAACATAAATTTCATCTCGGAAAAATGAATGGAAGAGAAGGCAAAATAAAAGTAACAACAATAATAAAAGCACGTCCATTTCGTCCTGCTCATTGTCCTCAGTCCAAAGCCTGTTCAAATCATTTGAATTAATTCTACTTCATAGCTGAATGCATAATGCTAAATATGAAAAACCACGCGATCATCCTTGTATCGCCTTCATTAGTACTTCATAACCCGGGCAGGTCACCTGTGAATGATTTTCAGCAAGTTTAAAGAAAAGTAAGTAGTTGCAAGAATGGTTGAAATAAAAGTAGAAGAGAGGGAGGGGGTAGGAAGAAGAGGGCGAGTCATTGTTACCTGATACATTGTCTTTTTCTATCTTTTGAATACACTAGTTTAGCTACTTGGTCAAGGACGGTCCATGAAAGCATGACCTGATGAGGCGTTGGATGTAGTGGTGGTTGGGTGAGATGATTGAGATGGCAACACTCTTGCATCTCTTCTTTACATATCACCCGCCAACCACATCCCAATATTTTCATCTCACCACCAATTGTAGAGTAATTAGTAGAAAGTAAAATGTGAAGGGAATTGTTATGAGGTGTTAGATGTTGCCAACATGTTTTCTCATTTAATTCCAACACCATTATGCACAGTTGAGGACTCGCAACATTATGCCCACGGTAAATAGCATGCGCCCACTCTTTGCATATATAGTCATCATCTTCTGCAGCTTTACTACTCCACCAAATCACACCGGCCCAGCCTAAGACATGGAGGCAAAAGGATAATATTCTTTATTTGTACACCACGATGGTATTTGGCATCTAGCTGGCATAATTGCAACAAAATCTCTTTGGGGCAAACATTCCGGCTGCACCAATACTAAACTGTTATTCACATTGATTATACCCTTAATGGGAGCATGTCCCTATAATACACCAAAAAAAAAAAAAAATTGTCATACCATAACGTACTTGAACATCAATGATGAAAAAAAAAACTATCATCATGCCTCTCATCAGCATTTACATACTGAATTCACCGACGAAACTAAAATAAATAATTAATTATGTTATGCATATATAATTAAAAAATATGCATAAATCATTAATCATATAGATTGTAGGAAGACATACATACCTCATGGTCATGTGAAGTAACCAAATACCATAATTGTCTATCTGATAAAGGTTCCATTGAATCACAATCGACTGCACTTAACCAAATCAACTGTGCTGGAAGCCTTGGCAATGACTTGAGTCTTACACAATAATCCAAAAAAAGATAGAGAAGTCGAAATAGACTAGAGAAGCAACCCGTGGGCAGATTAACAAAATCATTTGCTCTAAGATCCAATACAATGAGTGATGATAAACCACTAATATTATTAGGAATTGATCCATCATTTAAGCCACAACTGTGTAAATATAACTCTATTAACAACCTAAGATTCAAGCCAAAAATTTGGCAATTCATGGGAGTCTTCAACAACTTGTAGCCACTCAAATTCAAATATTCAAGACCAGTCAAGGAACCAAGTGATTCCGGAAATGTAATTATAGCAGTGCCACTCACATCAAGATATGATAGTTTCTTCATGTCTTCCCCAAACTTTGGAAGCACCACAATATTTCCACACCCACGTAGAACTAAACTTTCCAAAGAATTCGTTTCTAATTTTCTTGGTAGGATTTCAAGAATGATACATTCACTGAAGTCAACCTTGACAAGTCTTTTCAACTTTCCAAGTGAGGTATGAACCTTGACAAGGGATTTGCAGCCAATAAGACATAAATGTTCTAGATTTGGAACACTTAAGAAGTCCGGAGTTTCGATCAAATTGAGAGAATATCTTAGATCAATATGTTTCAACTTTTCCATTGACTAGACAAATAAAAGATAGGAGAGTTAGCCTTACTAAACAACATATGAATAAAACATGGACACATAGATATAATTTTAAATAGATGATGTTACATGGAGTGTTGATCTCACCTGTGTAGCATTCCAAAATTGCTTTACTTTGCTATATTGCATTTCAATATCTACAATTTTATCCAAGGAAAGTGGGAGAGTTTCAAGAGAGAATTGTTGCCAGCAAACAACTTTCAATGCGCTCGAAAGTTCCAATCTCTTTGGTAAGATGAGTTGATCATCATAGTTCTGTATTATGAGTAATCTAATATAACTCATCTTTAAAAAGGCATTGGGGTGCACTTTTATTTTTTTTGAGTTCCAAGAATAATGCCCTCGCATAACAATAGCTTGTATTGCTTCAGATGCCTAATAAAAATGTTTATTACCAGAAAAATTAACATGAAAATGACAAGGAAGTGAAGTATATTAAAAATATTAGATGTATCGCAACAAAATGAAATATTTAGAAATAAAAAAGTACTCACCTTATTATTTTCCAACACTTCCTTAATGTCCTCAAACTCCCACAACCTGCTACGGTTGCCAGGATTGGGAGATTCTCGAATAATAATATCCCTACCCAAATCTTCAAGCAAATCATGCATTTCTAAAGTGGGATATTTTTCACAAAAAGGATCTTTCGTTTCAACTAAAGCTTTTTCAATCAAGACCTTTATTCCAATTGTTGGGTTTAGATCACAATCTTCCAAAACTTGGGTCACTTTATCTTTTCTCCATCCCCTGAAAAAGCAAGCAATATCCAAAAATATTGTCTTTTCATTCTCATCTAATCCATCATAACTTATTTTAAGTATTTGTAGAATATCTTTATTTGGATTTTTCTTTAGTTTATCTAAAGTATCGGTCCACTCATCTTTAATTCTTTTGCAAAGAAAAGAACCCAAAACTTTAAGTGCCAAAGGAAGACCTCTTGCATATGCAACCACAGATTCAGACAACTCTAAATAATCTTTTTCAGCATGATCTTTCTTGAATGCTTTCTTAGAAAAGAGTTGAAGAGATTCATCTTTGTCCATGGCTTTCATCTCATATAGTTTCCCTCCAATTGAGGTAAGGACGTGACTCTTTCTTGTTGTGATAATTATTCTACTACCTTTACCAAACCAATGTGGACTTTCAGCCAACTTCTCTAATTGACTCGTAGCATCTAAATCGTCAAGGACAAGAAGAACCTTTTTACAGTAGAAAAGCTTTCTTATCATCTTCATTCCTTCATAATCATCATGAATTTTATTGTTTATTCCAAGATGAGAAAGAAGCCTTTGCTGCAAAGAGACTAGGCCGTTTGTTTGCAAAGTTTCTCTAACATTGGCAAGAAAACAATGCATTTCAAATCTTTCAAAGATGTTTTCATAAACAACTCTAGCAAGAGTTGTTTTGCCAACACCGCCCATACCCCATATCCCTAAAAAGCGAATGTCATCCACGCAAATCTCTAACTGTGACATTAGATTGACCATTCTTCGCTCTGTTCCAACCAGATTATCATCATAAGATGGTAACTTGGAACATAAATATGTTCATACTACTCCAACTACTTCTTTGATAAGTTGTGCTTCAGGCCTATAAAATAAAACAATGCAAAATATGACTTTTCATCAGTATTGTCTACTAAAACTTGACATAACGTCGCAGACAGTGATGGGGAGATAATTGGATTGTAAATTGGTGGGCAAGCATTGATCCAATGGCCTACTAGAATCAAAAAATCCGATGATGATTTTATAAATAAATAAATCAATAAACTTATCAACAAATGTTTCTATAATTTGTGATATATGAACTGTAATTCAGTTAATTTGCTCATCATTTTAAATTTATTTTTCTGAACAGATTAAAATTATTAAAAACGAATAAAAGTAATAGATAAAAATAAAATGAAAACATTGGATGGAGATGTGAATAAAGTTTTAAAATTCAAGTCGTTATTAAGACAATTAAGTAACTGACATGAGCCTTATTGACTCCATTTAAGAGAGAAGGCTAAGTTTAACAACTCATGAAATGAATAATCTCCCATCCTTTTCACCAAAACAAATTACAAAGTATTTATACGTGTTGTGCTCAAATATAAACGTTAGATAAACAAATTAAAAGACACTGTATGAAAACATTTCCCATTTAATTTAACATAACTAACAATCTTTAAAATATGGTCAAGTCATTTTGAAAAATAACTTACCGACTTCTGGTGTCCCAACCAGATATGGTGCCAATTTCAGATAAAGCTTTTTTCCAATCCTGCACTATGTCCATGTTTCCTCTAAGTCTCTTTTCATGATTGGCTAGAGCTTCTCTGAAGCTTTTTCTTTGATTTCTTACATCAGATGGATCTACATCATAGAAGATTGGAAAAACTCGTTGACCCATTTCGTTCATGCTTTCAAGAATTTGTTGTAGTTCATCCAAACACCATTTGGAATCTGCATAATTTTGAGAGAGAACCACAACTGCGCAGCGAGAAACCTTAATTGCTTGAATGAGCTGTGGTGATATAACTTCTCCTCTCCCAAGTCCTTCATTATCTCTAAAAGTTCTCATCCCACTTCTAGTAAGAGCATGATACAAGTGATCTGTAAACTTCTCTTCTCCTCTAAAACTCAGAAAAACATCATATTTCCAATTCGGAGTTGAGCTAGAAGCACCAGGGGTTGAGGAAGATTCTCCCTGGACAGTGTTCGCCATTGTAGGCTTTGGATCTCTTGGTTGTGACCAAATTTGAAATCTGTACCATCAAAATCATCTCAATAATTGCCAAAGAAAAAGAAAAAGAGAAAAGAATATCAAACATGAAACCAGAACCAATGGATGTAAAATACTCGCCGCACAATGCTGGACGGATGCAGCTCAGCTATGAATGTTGTTGAATAGATCCGAGATCTGAGTTTCCTCTATACTCACACTCAGTGCTATGATTTGACGTCACTGAAGTACAAGCTGTGGAGAGAAACCAGAGAGATTTACAGTCATAGATGAGACGCAAGCGAAGACCTGCTTTATCCGTCAATGACTTTGCTTTTTCTATTCTATGTCGTTTAATTTACTCAACCAAAAGTGTACTATTTCGTATTATTTAAGAGCCTATGGCTGGATATGTGCTGGAATTGAAATATGATTTTCAAATATTGAATTGTAGATATCTGGAGATGAAGGAAAAACAGGCGAGAAGAAAAAAGAAAGAGGAAAAAAGAGAGCGGTTGGATGCAATAAACTTGTCTGATATGTTATGTCAATAACTACAGTTTAATTTAATTGAACGGGTGATAAGTCTTATTATTTACATAAACTTCATATCATATAAGATTTAGTTTATGCTGAGTACACCACTCAAAAATAAATTTACTTTTTCAAGAGTGAAGAATTTATATGAGAATAAAAGTTTAAATTTTTACTGTATAGGAAGAAGAAAGGAACAGCGTGGAAGGAGGAAAAAAGGAAGAGCAGCAATTATCAATTATCCATTTAATCCTTTGGATTTGAATCAATTATCAATTTATTTTTTTAAATTTAATTTTTATTGATATGATTTTTTCATGTTTTTTAAAATTATCATGTCAGTCTTTTAAATTTTAAAACACTGATTGACTTTTAAATTAATTTAGTATGTAAATTATATTAATAATTTGACATGTATATATAGTTAAATAGGAATAATTTAATTTTAAAATCAGTATACTATTTATGAATATAGTTCATTATGCTACATTTGTTATTTTTCTAAATTTTTTTAATCTGCTTTTTTCTCTTTCCGAATTATTACATTTCTTTTTATTAAAAGAAAATTACAAATAGATCCTCTGCAATAGGCTTATTTACATATAAGTCTCATAAAATTTAAAAATCATAGCTAATTAAATCTCTATGAACTTGAAAATAATTTAAAATTAGAGTGTAAAAATAATTATTATCCATACTCTATTATCCTTGTCAACATATTTTAATAGTTATTTTTTTTTTAAATATTTAAAGACCAAATCCATGCCTTTTTAACATGTGAACGGTGAAAAAGAAAACATTGGGATATGAGGCCCCATTTGATTCACAGATACTTCTCAATAAAGTCGTCAGTTAGGGTCGAGCTTGTAAAGTCAGTCCTTTTAGACTTGAAAAAATTGAGGATTGGGTTTCTATTTTAGCTTTAAAAAAGTAAATCGGGCTGGCCCTTTTAAGCCCAAAAATAAAAGGGTTATTATTTTTTAAAAAAATTATAATATAAAAAAAATATTAAATACATAACTCAAAGAAATGAACATATTAAATGCATTCATTCATCCCTCATTTATTTATTAAGATTTAACTGATAATATTAGCTATAAGTTTAATTTTTATTGGTATTCACTTTGATATTGTTATTTGATATTAGACCTAAATGTTTTAGTTTTCTTTATTGTTGTGGTGTAAATTAATTTAAATTTATTTTCTTAAACTTAATTTTATGAATAATAACTTTTTTATGATTATAAATATATTTTTTATAATTTTTAATTGAAAAACTAATTTTAAAAAAATAGGGCCGAGGCCTTGAAGGCCGGCCCTTTAGCCCTGAGGGTTAGGACCGGGCCTTATAAAATGGAACCTTAACATGCAATCGGGCTTATTAGGGCCAGCCCGTTTAAGACCTTTTAAGGGCAAGGACCGGGCTGGCCCTAATTAACAGCTCTACTTCTCAATGACCATGGCTAGCGACCATCAAAACGCTAGATGTGATGTCAAATGAATAAAAATAAAAAATAGCAAACATTATGAAATTAAAATTAGAGTTGAAAATTAGAGCTGGCCTTTAAATGACAAATTCAATCCACTATCGCAACAAATCAATAACAACTAATAGTCTGCATCTAATATTATGTAGTGTATATAAAATAACGGGAAAAACAGAGAGCTGCCACAAGGAGGGGGGAAAAAAGTGATGAAACGACATAACAATAAAAAAATAACGATAAGAAACTAAATCAAAATTATTGTCCTTTTGAGTGTACAATGGAGAGGAAACACGGTTACACATTTTGAGAGATTGTGATATTTCCTGTGAGGTGTGGTGTGAATTTATTTACCTTAAAGTGGTTTAAGATTTTTTTTTTATTTTTTTTATTTAATTTCGAGAAGTCTTGCACCGCGTAAAATGCAGCATCACGTGATCCGTACATGGATAAAGTAAAGATATTGAAAAATGTGATGGCACAATTGTTCCACTAAATTTTTTTTTTTTTGGCTAGATTCCATCCACAATTTCACAGTTCAATAGAAAAATATTTTATTATTGTTCAGAAAATTTTCTTTGAAAATACTAATTAAAAGTTAGAATTTATTAGTAAATATAGGCGGGCACATGTGTGTGTCTATTTATTGATTATAAAAAATATAAAAAAATAAATTTGATTCAAATCCAGACCAAACCGAGCTACTCTAATAAAAAACCAAAGCTAACCAATTGAAAAAAGAGGAATGGCATCAAGGGCTTTAAAAAGACTTTATTGTAATTTAGGTTTAAATGAATCTGATATTGCTATGTAGGTCTTAAGGCCCTTATTGTCAATTTTTTTGAGACCAAAAGTATGATTTTATCTTTTATTTGATTTAAATTTAGAACCTGCGTGAACTGTCAAAACAACGAAATAGACCATGTACGATATAATATCCATTATGCACAAGACAATGTACATACATCTCAACAGAAAGTCCATGTATTTTAAGTATTTCACTAGCCTTGGCTTTAGCAAAAATGACTAGGCAAACCATGCACAACACAATTTTTACTATGCATAATATGATGTCCACGTGTGCCGAACAAAAAATTCATATAACAAAATGATGTAAGGCAGACCATGCACGACACAACATCTACTATACACAAGACGATATCCACACATGCTCAACAGAAAGTCTATGCATTTCCAATATTAAAAAAGACAATTACATCATATATGAATAATTTCATGTTGGTATTAGCCTATATACTAAAACAAGTACCCACATAAAATTTGATATAATATTTCAAGTCTGATATATACAAAAAGTTAGCCACTATACCAAAATATCTAATAGTTGCTTCCACATATACAAACAAAGAATATTTGTGATTCCCACTTACCCAAAAATTATTATTTGAAAATACTTTCATATATATAATTATAGTTACTTGTGTACACTAAAGAAGTATAGTGTAACAACTTCTCATGTTGGGTTAGGATTCTTGCATGTCTTGCGACTGTGTCCGGCCTTCCCACATCTTGAACAATGATAAATCTTCTTATCTTGCAAGACTCCATCCTCCTTGTTCATGACCTCCCGGGAGGACGGTTAATTAAAGATGGTTGTAAGAAAAAAAGTTTGTGATATATGTTTACCTGAAAGTCCATGTGATTCCAATTTATCATTATGCTAGGCTTAACAAAATACTGAAATTAGACAAATAATGCATAACACAATATTCACTACGCATAATATAAGGTTCATTTATTCTCAACTAAAAGTCTATAAGATTCTACTTTATTAGTAAGCTAGGCTTGACAAAATACACAAGTAAGTAAACAATGCACAACACAATATCCACTATGCACAACATAAAGTTCATATATTTTTAACTAAAAGTTCATACGATTCTACTTTATCAGTAAATTAGGCTTAACAAAATGCACAAATAGGTAAACAATACATAACACAATATCTATTATACACAATATAAGGTTTATATATTTTCAACTAAAAGTCTATAAGATTCTACTTTATCAGTAAGCTAGGCTTGACAAAATGCACAAGTAAGCAAATAATGCACAACACAATATACACTATGCACAACATAAGGTTCATATATTCTCAACTAAAAGTCCATATGATTCTATTTTATCAGTAGGCTAGGCTTAATAAAATGTACAAATAAGCAAACAATGCATAACATAATATCCACTATGCATAATATAAGGTTCATTTATTCTCAACTAAAAGTCCATAAGATTCTATGTATCAGTAGGCTAGGCTTGACAAAATGCGCAAGTAAGCAAACAATGTACAATACAATATCCACTATACATAACTTAATGTTCATATATTCTCAACTAAAAATCCATACAATTCTACTTTATTAGTAAGCTAGGCTTAACAAAATGCACAAATAAGCAAATAATACATAACACAATATTCAATATGCACAATATAAGGTTCATTTATTCTCAACTAAAAATCTATAAGATTCTACTTTATCAGTAGGCTAGGCTTAACAAAATATGCAAGTAAGCAAATAATACACAACACAATATTCACCCTGCACAATACAATCTTCATATATTCTAAACTAAAAGTCCATGTGTGTTTAGTTTATCAGGTGGCTAGGCTTAATAAAAAGTTTCTCAAGTTTATGAACAATAAAAAGTTTGTATATAACATGACAAGATTCATTTATTAACAACACAATGTCCATCTATTTCACATAATTTGTGTGATTAAACTGAACATTTAAAAAAGTTTTTCAAGTTAATGAAGAACAAAAGGTTCGTATATAACATGAAAGTATCCATTTGCTAACAACACAATGTCTATATATTTACATTATAAGGTTTGTTGATATGATACACATAAATATCCACACAAGTTAATTGCAAAGTTTACATCACGTAAACTTCATAAATAACAACATAAATTTTACAAATAACATCTGCACCAGAATATTTATATCAGTTGCAAAAAAATATGTATCAAAAATAACAAAAAGTCCATAAATAATAACTTGTTTTCATTAAATGATAATGATGGATGTAGCACTTGATCCATTCTTTTCACACTATGGCAAATCATTTCAAGAAGCTGGTTAGCATGAGAGGAATGTAATCGAATGAATGCCTGATCGTCTTCTCCATACCCATCTGGATAAAAGTAAATCGTCTACTTATACCTGTTAAATGAAAAAAGCTTCAAATGAGAGAAAGAAGGAAGAAGAAGGAAGACGAAGAGAGGGAATAGAAAAGTATGATGAGGAGGAAAATAAATTTGGT